TCCCACATGCCTTACACACACACACACACACACACACTTTTCTGTGCCATTTAAAATTAAGTGGCAATATGTCAGCTCAACACTAATTCAGCCTGTATCTTTGTTTCCAGTTGTTTTTTTTTTATTTTTTGATGTCATTTTACATTCCAATCACAGTTCCCCTTCCTACCCCTCCTCACCTCCCCCTAGCCCGCCCCCAGTCCACTCTTCCTCACGAGTAAGGGCTCCTGTGAGGAGTCAACATAGTCTCAGCCTATATCTCTTAAGAAAAAGGACAAACTTACATACACACAACAGTATTATTGCACCTCAGAAAACTAACAGTAATCCACAATACCATCTAACATCTAGAGTTTATATTCATATTTTTCTACTTGTTCTAGTAATTTCTTTTATAGATTTTTTAAAAACCAAAATACTTTTTGCAAACACAATTATAACTTTAATTTTCAATATTATTAACAGTAATAAGTAAAAGGGAATAATAATTCAGTAAAGCAATAAAGTAATTCTTGAGATAACTTTACATACTTTCCCATGCTCTGTTTCAGAAGTCTGGTGTGACTTTTTAGTACACAACGTATCTCACATTACAGATGCTGAATAGGCAGGTGTGGCTGGATAATGGTTACTATTATTCTAAATGAATATATGTGACAGGATACCTTCATATTAACCATAAGTTATATAGACACAGATACAAACAGTGGATTATTGTAAGCCACACACACACAAATGGTTATAATGCCTCCTAGGTTCCTCTCAAGCCATACTATCTTCTGTCACTACTTCTGAACTGGATCTCAAACACCACCTATAGTCTGCCCTAGTCAAAACATTGAAGACACTTTGTTCCTTATTCTTGGGACCAGATGACTTTGTTCTTTTTCACAAAGTTAAGTAAGCTATTCATAGAGACCATGAGACCCTAACAAAATGCAATTTTTGTTCATGCAGTATAGCATATGTGTATACGTATATGTATATACAGATATTCATATATATGCTAAGGTTTCTGTAGTACCTTTCATAGTAGAGCAATTCTCCATTTTCCTTTATTATCATTTGCTTTTTAAGAGTCTAGTTTAGTTGCCCAGTCAAGGGTCTATTATTTCCTAAATTTGGCCATTTCTTCTTGATATTTTTTTAACTTATCCTTATATACCCTCTCTATACTTTTGATTTCCTATCAAACTAGACCATGGCTTATTTTTGTTAAAGTTGGTGGCAGCATTCTAAAGTACCCTGACCATAATTTTGCCTTATTCTGGAAGTGACTAGGAGGCTCAACCAGCTTTAAAAGGTCTTACTGTATATAAAATATGTTATCAGGCATTTGATCACATCCATAAATAGAAAGTAGACAAAAATCATTAGAGCAATCAGTGGCTCTGTAGAGGGCCCCCTGTGCTCTTTTAGGACATAATTGACTCCGAGTTAAAGAAATAGAACCTTGCTCATTTGTAATTACATGATGATTTTTTATTAAATTATACATGTATGATCATCATTTGTCCTTTTTGAAAGTTCTTATTTTGTAGACTTTAGGGTTCACATTCTTCCCATGATTTCTTGCATTTCAGTGTTATTAAATTCCTGTATCTCATCAATAAGAAAGGTATCTATCTTGTTGTGAGACAGTAAACAGGAATCTAAAATAACCACTTCCCTTTCTGAACACCTTTCCCCCTGTTGTGACTCTGAAATACTTCTTTAGGTCTCATGTTCACTCCTGCTTTTCCAGGACACAATGAACCATTTCAAACCCCATGAGACAGTGCCCCTTAGTACTGGTACATGTCCTCTACTGTATTGGGTGCTATAAATTCACAGTGAAGCCAGAAATGAGTTCAGTGCATGTGCTTTGTCTCCATGTACTGTTTCAGGAAGATTCTTACGTTACGTTTGCTTCCTGACAAATGCAAAATGAGATAACTGTGGCATGAATCTTTTTGTTCTTCCAACCGTTTTCAATAATAGAGACTCTACAACTGCTCAGGTAGTTAAGATTAGGTTAAGAGGGAACAGGTGAAAATCATTTGCTGTTGTAATTGCTTTTTTTCTGAACAAAGATCCATTTTTCTTATTTATTGACTAACATGTTTACTAGCAAATAATCACCAATATTTGTTACTACTAGATATAAAGTAGTATGGAGATTATGCGAGTTTCTGTAATTCAGTGGTCATGAAAGTATACTTGCATGCAAAATGTAGCTAACTTCTAAGTCATGGTTAATAGAAAGTTTTGTTTGAGATTACTTGAACATTAATCTTTACTGTTGACTGTATTTGGTTAAGTCATTATTTTGGGAAATTATTTAAAGTGAATGTTATGGAGACTGTCATTTATATTCACAATAGATTCTTTTCCTACATAGTTATTCAAGCCCTTGTGTGCTATAAAAACTTATCGATTCACCAGGCAATCTGTAAAATCAATCTTAGAATCAGCCTATTTTTGTCTTAATGGATATTTGATGCTTAGAACATTAACATGATCTAGAAATATGTCCAGAACATGTGAATAAAGTAGATTAGCAGTAGTTGACCATAGACATTTTTCCAGTCAAATCACAGTACTGAAGAAACAAACATGTATTTAAATATAGGCTGAGTAACTCTTCTAGAAGGGGCACCTTGAATAAAGGATGCAAAGTAAGAGAAAGGTGACTATGAGTGGGAAATTCTAAGATTTCCCTGGGAAGGGTGAGGAGTCAGATTATGCTGCCTGAAACTAGTCCTGTAGTATAGGGTAGACAATGGTCTCAAAATCAAGAGATGTTCTTACACTTGAGCCAGAGATTATCTAGAACCTTCAGGAGACTCTGGGGATGAATACAAGGTTGTAAATTGACATATTAGAAGGAACCACCTTCTGGTGTTGCATATAGAATGAGCTAATGGAAAGGAGACCATGCATGGCGTGCCACAACTGTTAAGGATTTTGGTTGCAAGTACAATTACGAACATGAAACATGGGTGGAGAAAATGCCAATGAGGAGTGATTTCGCTTGTGCAGCCACACCAAAGCACACTTGTAGAGATCAGAAGACACTCTTGTAGGTTGGTTTTTCTCTTCTACCTTGTGAGTTTCAGAGATTTAACTTAAGTCGTCAAACTTGGTGGCAAACACCATTACCTGCTGAGTTCTTTCATAGGCCCCCATGTTAGTTTTCATTTGTTTGTTTTCTTTGTCTTTTAAAGACAGAATTTCTCAGTGTAGCCTTGGTGGTGGAACCTGGTGGGACAAGAAACTCTAGCAGCTGGCGCTCTCTCTCTCTCTCTCTCTCTCTCTCTCTCTCTCTCTCTCTCTCTCTCTCTCTAGACCAGGCTGGCCTTGAACTCACAGAGATCTACCTGCCTCTGCTCCCAAGGGCTGGGATTAAAGGCGTGCCACCACTGCCCGGCTCCATATTAGTTTTAAGGTTTTTTTTCTCCCTCCTGACCTATGTTGATAACCATAATGTTTCCCTTTGTTTCTGCACTTCATGTTTTCCCATTCAGATCTACAAGATTGGACTTTCTGTAATACTGCTCTGGTGGGGGTGATGTTTTCCTTTCTCAAAGGTAGTGAGTGATTCCTCCATGCCTGTTGCAGACAATCTAGATTCATTAAGTTGTCATTCAGTGTCCCTTTTGTTCCTTGACATTTTTTCAGTGTCGTCTAGTTAGCTTATGCCCCCCACACAAGAAGAGTAAGTTCTTCTTAGTCACCCTGTCATTTTTCTGTGCAGTTTTTCCTTTCTGCCTCTTCCACCTTTTCTTAGAGCACGGGTCTTGCTTTGTTGTCCAGACTGGCCCTAAACTCCTGTGTCCATGTGAACTTCCTGATTAACTGTTGTAACCGGCCTGCAGCACTGTGCCTGGCTTACTTCCACTTGTTATATCCCTTCCTCCAAATGCTGTGAATTAAGGCCTTAGATGCGACTCTGTAGTACAAAGTTTGCCCAGCATGCACACACCTCTGGATCCCAACACCAGCTGACAAAAAAAATCCTGTGTTTTTTTTTTCTTTTTCTTTTTTTAGAACATGTAGCCATGTATTGAGAACTTGTACATATGAATTCTAAGAATATCAGGTTTTAAATTCTGAGACTAAGGAGGACCCAGACTCAATTGGAAACCAGGGTCAAAGATCAACCACATCTTTCTCCTCTCTGTGTCCATATTTGTCACTGCCCTCCTTAGAAGGTATTTAGCATAGCCCTTTGTACTGATAGATGGTCACCACTCAAAGGAACTTCTTTCAGGGCCTAGATTGACACAATTCCTGCTTCATTTTGCTCGGTATATCATGTGTCATGTGTTCATCAGAAGACAAATGTAAAGCCTGTCAGATTGTTACCAAGTGTTTCTAAATTTAATACAATGATAGAGTTAAGTTAGATAGCTGGCACTCAGAATCAACTTTACCTATAGACGTATGACAATGATAAAACAGTGTGTACCTTATCGGTACTAGTACTAGGACTCTATTTTATTGCACATGGTATGTAAGTTTAGGCAAACTCGGAAAATCGTGTTTAATTCATAATGTATGTAACAATACTAAATGCCCTAATGGCCATGTTTAACAACTACTCAGGAAAATAGGTTCAGGAATGTCACTTGGAATGTCAGGGAATATGTACTCACTCCCACTCCAGGAGTCCTTGCTGCTCTGACAGGAAGATTTGGATTACTCCATAGACCTATCAGACCTGAGATGTGATTTATACTTGATTTTCTCAGTGGTCTTTAACGGGATGGGGAGGAATCGAATTGAGTGTCTCTGGGACAGTGTACCCCACTCCTCCTACCTTTAGATCGCTTCTCTGTCCCTATGAGGAAGAGATTTTACCTGCTTCAGAGACGAAGACACTGAGACAGTATAAAGTCTGGCAAGTTGCCTGAATAATCAGTAGGAGGCAGAAGGAAGATTTGTACCAAGGCCTGTCTAGCATCAGTACCTATACTCTGCATTAACCATGCTGCCTTGTGAATAGCGTTTCTTACTGTCCTTAGGTGATTATAGAAGGACTCTCACAGCTCGCCCCTGCCTCTCTATCTAGGAAGCGCTTGTGTTGTCCTCTCCAAGTTGTCTATATAAGTATGGTAATAACGAACCGGGTCAGTCAGACCTGGGCTCCAATCTTGATTCTGTCACTTATTACCTATGTGTGACCTTGGGCAAATAATTTAACTTCTCAAAGCCTCAGTTTCTTCATCTGTTTTTTAAAAAGGGAATAATGTTTCACACTGATGTGCAGATAAAGTGACATCATCTATAGACCCTTTGCATGGCTGCTGTTACATGGGAGATATCCCTCAGGTGGTGGTATCATGGCTGCTGCTCTCACCCTCACTGGCTTGTAATGACTGCAGAAATAACAAAGATAAAAAGTGCTCTTCCCCTGCTGCTGCTTTGTCTTTTATGTCCACTAGAAATAGAAATCTCATGGATACTCTGATCCACAAAGCTCTGAGATAAAATGCATTTACATTTCAGTACAACCTTCAAATCTGGTGAGTCTATAGGCCTTCCAGGAGGTAGGTGGGTACCAGGAGAGAGAAAAGCTCTTGGAGATTCTGGGGACTAGCTGGGGCGAGAACAGCAGTAGAAAGGAGTAGTTTACCCCCCGTTTCTGAGTGTCCACTCTTAGGGCCAGAAGCCAAGTTCTTCTATGGGGGCAGCATTAGGATGAGGTAAGCATGGGCCATGACAGCAGGTGAACAGGAAGCCCCAGCACCAGGCTTGACTGGATCCTCAGGCAGCTCCCCAAGGGCACAAAAGCCAAGGCCTAGAGAAGGATGGTTTTGAGTGATAATCTCAGAGAACTGTATAATATACTATGCATGACAGAGAACTTTGCATGTGCAGAATGTTCTATTTTCAGTGTTCACCATTTGAAGGATTCGGAGCTTTTCAAAGCCTATGTGTCTAGCAAGCTGGCAAGATCTAATTAATACTGAGCTGTTTCTAATTCTGTGAATTAACTCTGATCATTGTCTACTGCCAATGACTTTTCTCCTGCTCTGCTCTCAGGAAGAAGACAGCTTCCTAGAAAAGGTAATTCAATCCATTGTTGGTAATGAAGGTTTCCCTGTGCTTGACTAAAACACTTAACTGTGGTCCCTGGAACTTTCCTTAAGCATTCTCATATCAGAGGCCTAATTCCCTAATCAGCCCTATTGGCCTGCCAGGTGTTTTGAAGTATGCTCAAAATACAGTAACATTGTTTATCCATCTGACAAGTTGTCTATACTCTGTATGTAAAAAGAAATAAAACTCAAGGATACAGCTTTTGGGGGGACGGGGGTCTCAGGCTAGCCTCAAACTCACTATGTAGCAAGAATGACCTTTATTTTGTATCCTTCTACCTCCACTGCCCCAGTGTTGGAACTGTAGCACTCCTGGTTTTATGAAGTCCTGAAAATCAAACTTGGACTTTATAATAGATGATAGATAAGCATTCTTCCAACTGAGCTTCTTCGCTAGCCATCAATGTGTGTGTGCGCGTGCGTGCACGCGCACATGTGTATGTGTTGCAAGGGATGAAACCTAATGCCTTACACATGCTAGACAAATGCACTATCATTGAGCCACACTGGCATTTCTTAATTTCCAGATAAGTGCTGTAGCATGAAGCTACATCTCTAGCCCAGATTTGTCTTGATGTAAACTCATGAGTTGGAGGGTACTGTTTAGCTGCCCCTGCTTCCAATGATAGTAAAACCCCCCAAAATGCTATTCCAGTTGCATTAATAGTGATGTGGAAGCTGTGGTGATGGCCAGTCAATAAAGTACTTGTTGCCATGCAACCATGAAGGCTCAAGTTCAGATTCCCACCCCCCGTGTAAACAAAATAACTGGGTACAGTTTCACACATCTGTAATGCCAATGCTGGGGAACAGACACCAGGTAGGTCCCTGGAGTTCACTAGCCAGCCAGTCTAATGGAATCAGTGAGAGAACCTGTCTCAAAAAAATAAGATGGAGACAGACTGAGGAAGGCAACTGGTGTCAACCTCTGGCCTGCATACACACATATATACATGCATATACAGGGACCATACACACAACAAAGGAGTGATTTAGGGGTCATAATAATAGCGGTTAATTACTCAGAGAATACCCAGATATAGTCAAGAAACAGCATAGAGTAGAATTGTTGAGCTAAATCATAAATGGAGTAAAATCATAAATTGTCTAATCTAGCCATCTGTACTTAGACAGAGATATTTTCTGTGTTCTAGCAGGCAAGGCCCAAGGTCCAGAAAAGTAGAAAATGCTATTAAAAAGTCCCACAGCTTCTGAGCACCTGAGTGTAAGGTGTGGGTACTGTTTCCCAAATGTCCAGTGGTATATACCTCATGCTGTGCCTCACAGCCTCTTCCATCATAAACTGGACATGCCAGTCTCCCCTCGGGGCTGCCAAATGCAGGGGCAGGAGCTCAACAGATACTCCAGAGCATGTTCATAGAGTGCTTGAGACCTTTCCATTGAGTGGAGTTGAATACATTTTGAAGGTGGAGATTCTTGACTAGCATTAAGATTACAAAGTGTAGGCTTATAGGGCAAGAGTATGTCTTGTTGAAAGAAGGCAGAGTCCTGGTTCCCCTTTGAATATCAGAGTTCACAATAATGTACAGATCATTTTTATAAATATTCTTTCACCATTTCCTTATTATATCCGTTTCTAGACTTCAGAACCACAAGTGTGACATTTCCTATTATCGCAGGTGAATTTAGAAGTAGAGAGTAGATGCTGTATGTAACCTACTGACATTTTATTAACCTTTTAAACCACTAAGGCTTGACACATCTTTGCTTCTTAGCTCTTCTCTGTTAAGGGCAGTCCATGTTCTGTCTATTCAGTTAGACAATGCTTTATGTTGTGTTAATGCCATAAGACAGGTAAAAACCTTTAGTTGGATGTCAGATTTTTTGAAAGTATATGTCAGTGATGAATAATTTATATGTGGTAAATTTGGAGGCATCTGCTAAAGAATCTGCCCATGTGTTGTGTTTGATCCAGAAAGTTAGTAGAATGCACTATGAAGTGTTTGGACCCAGATAGCAGATGGATGTCTGCATGTAATACATACAACCAGAATGAAGTCAGTGGATGAGTCGCCTCTAATAGAAGATACAGCAACTATAGAGAATATGAATATCAAGACATAGCATCCCAGGAAAAGAAAGAAAATAAATGTGAAAATCGATATATAGAGAGATTTGAAAAGGCAACCAACAATCACTATACTCCCTTCTCTTCACAAAGTTCATTGGTGCTTATTAAAAAGCACCATGTTGGGGATGGAGAGATGGCTCAGCAGTTAAGAGCACTGGCTGCTCTTCCAAAGGACCTGGGTTCAATTCCCAGCACCCACATGGCAGCTCATAACTGCCCATAATTCCAGTTTCAGGGGACCCAACAATTTCACATAGATATACACATGCACACAGGCAAAACATGAATGCACATGAAATAAAAATAAAGAAACCTTTTTTTTTTTTTTGGTTTTTCGAGACAGGGTGTCTCTGTGTAGCTTTGGAGCCTATCCTGGCACTCGCTCTGGAGACCAGGCTGGCCTTGGACTCACAGAGATCTGCCGGCCTCTGCCTCCCGAGTGCTGGGATTAAAGGCGTGCGCCACCAATGCCGGGCAAAGAAATCATTTTTTAAAAATAAGAAATAAAATAAAAAGCACGATGTTAAGAAAAACCTGGGCACTTCTGTAGTGTATGTGGCCCCTGTATGCATAGTTCCATCTTTTTTCTTTCCCTTAAAGCTATAGAGTTGGAGGTTCTGGATAGAACAGTGTCAGACAAGAACTGAAAGTTGACAATATATAATGTGTGACTTAGAGGTGGCAAAAGGAAGAGGAGGATGGGAAAAGCTAACATGGCTGTCTCCACTAACATGGCAGTTCTTCTGGAAGCTACCTGCAGATGCCCTTTAGCCTATTTTGGATCTATTTTTCATATGCTTTATATTTGAATCTATAAATCTAAAATAAATTAACATTTGTTTTTGAGTAGATAGATAGTAGACAGATGAGTGTATTTTATACATTGGATTTAGTTATTTGTCTGATATATGTCAGTTCTGGATTTTTGTCTTATGTTCTTTCAGAAGACTCTAACAATAAAAAGGTAGGTAAAACAAATAATGGCCCCTAGAAGTCTTTGCTGGGCTATTAATATAAATAATAATTTCTGGAAGTAGACCCTTGAGTTTTCATGGTATTAGCTCCGGGTTATTAGTTTTGAATTTTGGAGCTTATGATTGGAAACTTGGATCAAGCCTAAAGCATTCATAGTTGTGCATCTAATGTACAGAATTGTCTTTAATTCCTCAGAAGCAAAGTAATTTAGTTAAAGAAACAATGAGAACTCCCAGTAGTATTTGTGGTGAGACCTGAAGGGAGAGTTAGTGTAGAATAAACTGAAACCTAAGTGTAAACATGGCCCCTCCGGTGCTGTACTAACAACTGTGATTGCATGGTCTAGCTACTGGTCATGTGTAGACTCTACTGTGACTTTATTATATTCTTGCCACACTGGTTCTCACTGAAGAAAGTGGAGTGCATCCATGGGATGCACACCACAAGTACAAATGAAATGTTTGCTGACTCAATGAAGCAGTTTAGAAAGGAGCTTGTTTAACTGCTGGGATCATCACTGAGTGCCTTCTGAACATGGATGTCTCTTGTGAGAAAAAAATGCAACAAGTATAAGAGACAAAGACCACATTGTACCCAGTTGAGCAGAATTTGAAAGAAATGTGTCTCTTTATTCTGAGGTCCCTTTGATTTTCATCCCTTTTCATCTGTCAGGAGAAATCCCTTCTGCGGATGGTCCCCTTAGATGAAGATGCCAGTGAGCAACCCCTTCAGGTTCCCAAGGAGATCTGGCTTCTAGTAGACCACTTATTCCGATATGCATGCCACCAGGTAAGTGTGAGAAAACCTTCCCTGAACCAGAGCAATGCATGAGCGTCCTATAGGGAATTAAGATGTTTCACGCAAGCATAGTGCTTTCCCGGTCCCAAGCAGCCTCCATGCAGCTGCACTGTCAGACCTCTAAAGCTCACAAGCTAAGCAGGTCCCTGAAACCTCACACTGAGACTGATGGCAGAGCCATGACCGGAACGGAGAATGCCCGTGGCTTGATTACGCACTTTCCCCTGAACGACTGAGTACTCCCGTCTAACGCCTATTTTAGCTGACCTGTAGCCAACTGGGAATTTTAAAATTGAAGCAAACTTCAAGACCCTTTCTTTAACATAGCACTGAGCTTTCTTTTAAATCAATCCTGTCCTAAAACACTAGCCATGCCCAACTCATCCCCTATAAGAACTTTCTTTGAACCAGTTGAAGGTAGTATCTTCAGACCTACTGAGACCAGTATAACTCGGAAACCAAGTTTTATCATAAATGTGCCATTTCCTCCTTTCCTGGCATCCAATTCTGCCCACAACTGATATGGTTGTGATTCTGCAGGGTGTACTCTGCCTTGTTTTCCAGAGGGCAGTGGACTGCCTGGCTTCTGATCTGGCCATCTAGTCCTATCAAGTAGAGGCTGACATGTCATTTTTGACAGGTCATTTTCTTGCTTGAAATAAACTTTCACATGGATTATTGAAACGCTAAAGGAAAACAATGCTCTGTCCCCACCCCCTTCCCTAACCATTGATGTGAGTGCCACCCTGTACCTTTCTTTCTGCTGCTCTCCCACTTTCTGGGCAAGCTTCAGACTTCAGTAGATGGATAGCTTGCCTTGTTCCCATCATGCTGACTTCTTTGGTAGGAGGACCTGTTCCAAACCCCTGGAATGCAAGAGGAGTTACAGCAGATCATTGATTGTCTGGATACCAGTATTCCTGAGACAATCCGTATCCTTTCTGCCCGAGGCTTGAAAAGCTGTACAGGTACATGGCCAAAGCGTTTTCCCACCTGCATTTGACATTTGTGTTCCAGCATTGATTTTTGTCACTGTCTCATAAGACAGTCACTGACTAACCAATTCTTTTATCAAGACCTTTCAGGAACTTTTAGTCTCCCTTTGTGTCAGACTAAGAGGAATCAAGGGGTGGGTAACAACTTGTAGTGAGCATGGGACGTAGGATCTATAGCCCCAGTACTGCTCTCCCTCAACCAGCTGCTCAACCCTGCTATGCTCCCCACCACGTGCTATCACCAGGGCAGGAAAAAAAATGAGAAAAAAACGCTGGCAACTAGCTTATCCCCCATCCAATGGACCCTATTGTTGTGCTGGCTCTGCTCCCTGAGTCTCTGGTGTAGTGAAGGGACTCTCAAGGGTTTTGGCCAATTCTATACCTCCTTGGCTACAGAGTGCCTAGGCCATTTTCGGACCCCAGTCAGGAGCAGTGTGTGCTAAGAGAAGAGAAAAGCCATCCCTATAGAGGCTTGAGTCAGATGTCTGTGTAGCTTTTCTCTGGGTTCCTCTTCCTTGACTAAAGGCTATTCAGCTGGAAGTAACCACTCTGTGGCTGAAGCACTGCTTATTTTCCTGGAAGCCCTGCCAGAGCCAGTCATCTGTTATGAGCTCTATCAGCGGTGTCTTGATTCTGCTCATGATCCACGGATCTGCAGACAGGTGAGTTTTGCTGCTCTGAGGATGTGCCCAGTGCAGGTTCTCCCGTAGAGAATCCATCAGTTTTACAAAGCTGTATGACAGAATGGGCCTGGGTCTGTTATTCAGGCCAGGACCTTATCATTAAATTTTAAAACCCTTGGGGGATCCATTGAGATGCTTCAGTGGGTAAAGGTCCTTGCCACCAAGGCTGATGACCTGAGTTTGATCCCCAGAACCAAAGTGATGAAAAGAACAAACCAATTCCCACTGGTTGTTCTCTGATCTCAAGTGCCCTGCCCCCGACACACACTATAAAAGTAAATGAAGTTGAAACCCTTGAATTTAGGTACTATTATTTTCTA